TACCGCTCTACCTCGTCGAGGCTGTCCTTGTTTGCGTCAGGCGTCAGCCGGCAGAGGACCTCGGCTTTCTCTGCAATGCTCAGCTGCCCGCCCGACCGTGGCCGATGGTTGGGCACTGTGTGATTTTCTAGCACAAGCGTGGCCATTGTGCTGCTGTGCGAGCTGTTGTAAGACGATGAAACATTTCCATCATGGACAGGATAGAGCAAGGGCGGGGTGGGAGACCCCACCATGTAATCTGCGCAGTGCCGGGTATCCTCAGATTCATGGTCGCTATCCGACCTAGCTCGTGAGTCTCGATCCTGTTTATAAAGATTCTCGTCAGACAGCTCATCGAGAGGCCGCTCGAGCCCTCCGCCCCGGCAAAATTCCTCCCACTCGAGCTTCCACTCGAGTTGCTGCTGCTGTTTTTGTGTTTCTCGGTCGTCTGCGGCCACTTCTTTGGCGGTATCACCGGCCGTGCCCTCGTAGGATTTATTAGGGACAAGTGCAGCAGCATTGCCTGTACCTTGTCGCCCGGCCTTCACGTCAATATAGTCACATCCCTCTCTCTGGTTGCCGGTATAGCTGATCCTGGCCTCACGCGACGCTTGCATTTGCATCGATAATTGCTCGATAGTTGTCAGCACGCGGGTGGCAACTGAGTGGCGCCGGATCGCCTGAGAGCCTACGTCTGGCGGTGACCCTAACGTTGGGGACCGCAAAGACGAGGCCGCTATGGGACTCAGGGGTTTGCGTTGCGCGACCTCTGCAGCCTCCGATGCGCCTGGGGACAACTTTGGCGCCAACTTGGCCGACGTCGCAGACAAGAGCTGTATATGCATATCCCCTTGCTTTGCGTGACCCTGCGTGGTGCCTTTGCCACCATTAGATGCTTTCCCAGGGTTTGCTGTTGCCCTATTTATTAGCACGCTGTCGCCAGCGGCTGACTGTGGCGGATGCGCCCGTTGTCCAGCCCTCAAAAGTGTCGGAGGTATTTGTTCCCTTGAAGCACTTGGTTCGGCCTTGCTTGCCGAATCCTCGTCGGGGGTGCTTCTAAACGTATTGAGGCTGGGACCAAATGAGCGGCCCTTGGCGGCCTGCTCAGAAATGCGTCCCTTTTGCCGCTGCTGGGCGGCGGAGTTAGTAGAAGGCAAGGGCTTATGTTTCGTATCCCTGTGATGCGCGGGGCCCCGTGAGGACGACTGCTCCATTTCTAGGATGTCCCGGCGTGGTACGCCGTTCATGCTCACGGCGCGATTGGTCCTCGTGAAAGACCCTGTCGGAGTCGAAATGCCAGTAGACGACATGAACTGCGACAATGACTGCATAGCGGCAGTATCCAGCCCCAGCTTTGCCCTAGAATGCGTGACGATTGCTGATGGCCTGGTGGTCAATGGCTGGTGTGTCTTTGTTACAGTCGCTGACCTATTTCTGCCAGAAGACCCCTTGTTCGAAGTGGTGTTTCTACCAGCCGGCCTCCCCCTTGGCGGTGAGTCGTCTGGGTCAAATTTGTCATGTTTCCAGCGATCCACCGCGTCAGCGCGACTGACATGCTTTCTTTGGTTCGATGCGGCCGTCGGGGATAGCCATGACGGCGAATGCTGGGCGTTGGCAGAGCCAGCGATCGAAATGGACTTGGCTAGCTGTGCGCTGCCGCGGGAATGGCTGACGCAACGACGGCTGGGCTGACCAGTGGATGAGAGGTTTTTTTGTAAGTGATGGGTTCTGGGAGATATGCCCAGGCCTTGTGGCTGCCGCCTGCCTCGCGGCAAGTTGGTAGCGCCGCGTTCACCCTGAAGGTGCTGGTGCTGATCCAGTGGTTCGGTCCAGGCAGCAGTGGTGTGCGATCTCTGCCGCTGCTGTTGTGGCTGCTTATTGCCGTCACTGGCAGTGGCAGCGCCGTCCTGGCGGCCGTCCCGAGTTGCTACTGTCGGCCGCGAGGTGGTGTTTGCACGCCTTCCATGCGTCTGTTGGCGTGGTGCCATATCTAACCTCTGAGTGCCACTATTGGTAGTGTCAGACGAGGTACTACTCGGCTTGTTGCTCTCAGCGAGGGAGTCGCCGAGGGACGAAAATTCCATTGCTCCGCTGTTATTCGGCGACAGCCCGTCCTCAGCCCAATCCAAAGGCCCACTCTTGGTGCTGAACACAGCCGCCTCCCAATCGATGTCTGGGGGCCCATTGCTGCTGTCCGTTGTCATGGCGGGACGTGCGTGCATATATATGGGTGTGTATGTGTGTATAGCTGCGAGTGTCTATATCTATGCGAGTGGGCGGCGGTTGTCGTTTGTGCGTGCGCCCCTTCCCTCGTCGCTGCCGTTGCCGTGACAACAAGGTGGATAGCGCTCGGACAGAGGGGCCGTGCGATGGAAGCACGAGCACAGATACCGTGGTTGGGAAAAAGACGATATAGAGGCACTTGCGGGGATAAGAAAATGGGTGAGGAAGCACCAGCAGCAGTTTAGAAACGAAACAAATAAAAATACTGTGAAAGGCTCGCGTCCATCACAGGCGATGCATCTCGGGCCTTGTGCGCGTACATGCGCATATGTTTGGGCGTCAAGCGCGTGTGGCCACTCTCACTAGCAGAAATGTAGGGGTTTTTGAAGCCAGTCAACTACCCTGCGAACGCGCCCTTGTCGTGTTCTAGGTCTCATCGGACGTTATTTGTACGTGGTAGGAGGGCCGCCAAGGGCCATCGTGCCCTGAAGGAATGCGTGCGCCACAACCCCGCATGCCAGGAAGGAAGGATAGTTCTAAGATTGTTGGCCCACCTATCCGAGCTCATGCATAACTACAGGTTCACCTCGCTATTCGATGTCACAGCTCCCTAGGTTTGACGGAGCCCAACGAGAGGTCAACCCTTTGTGCGGCCTTTCATACTGATCGCCTTATACCCTGATGCCACCAGAGGGCCCAACCTGGCAGTGACGTGTGTGTGTATACACACCTGGACAACCGCCCAATCCTACAATGCTGGCACCTGGTACAAGTTATTCACAGTGGCATGGCAGTCTGAGCAGGCATTAAAGGATCCTAATTGCGTTGCCAAGATTGGGTCTGGACATGCAGAGTCCAAGGCGCAGGCAAGAGATCGTAAGTTTGCATACTTACCATGGGCATGCACCCCTAAATGTCGCTCGTAGACTACTTGCCACTTTCCCAGAGCTTCGGAATATTGTACTGCGGTTTTAACCCAGCCATGGATCCGATCCTGGCGAGGGTATAATGGCCAACAGATGGGGAGCTGGGCCGTTGTTGTTACCACTATCGCGGCCTTATGGATTCTAATATCACACTTTAATTATATATCCTTATCATTGAAGGTTGACGATGTAACAATCTCAGACACTCAGCGCAGTGGAATAAGCCATCTAAAAAGGGGATCGAAATGCCCGATCCAGTCACCACGTTAGCCATTGTCTCTAGTTCTTTCTATTGGGGTATTTCTGTCACCTTATTACCTTTTTATTTTCATCGACACATCGTATACTATGTAAAGGATTATACTACTTGTCCTTCCATTTGAGTAACAAGCATCTCCGTGGCTCCCATTTTATGTTGTTTAGTTGACTATGCTCCTCTTGGGATGCCATAGTCTGGCTATAGGTATTTAAATATAAATTATACACCTTGAGGATAAAATATATCCAAGCCATTATCTAAAATACACATCCATACATCTATACAACCTCCCTCCCAGCGTCCTGCCACACTTCCTTTCTCTCCCCTCTATTCTTCTTAATCCCACAGAAATCAATTAGCTAGTGTTTGATTTAAAGGGTTTTGTAAAAGACAATTCCTGTGCCTTGGTTAGCACCAATGGTTTAGTGGTAAAATCTTCGCTTCCCAAGCGAAGGCCCCGGGTTCGATTCCCGGTTGGTGCATGATTCTTTTTTTGACGAATCTTTTGCTTTTTTAACCATGTCGTGGGGGATTCCAGTCAGAACTGCCAGGATCATCAGCCTCGAAGAGTTTAGAAATGAAACCTGGTAAGAATGACTGGTAGGAAGGCTTGACTGCCGTTGTCAAATCGACCGCCTTTTTAGTCCTTTGACAAGGTAAGGCCAAGGACAAATGTATATCGAATTATAACTGCTAATCTGGCTAAAACAGGAGCCATAATAGCCATCATCCATTAAATGGGATAAATGCGACACCATTGTCTTGAGCCCAGCCATACCACAACATGGATTGATCGGGAAGTGATGACAGTTCTAAGCCGATACTGACTCAAGCGCTCCGGTAGGACTGCAGCTGTTTGGTGACCTTTTGGTGGTGATGGCCAGCGTTGCTGCCGCTATGCTCTCTCGACAATCTCGCTTCGCAAATGAATTGCAGGCGGGATTCTGTGGCTCGTGTAGGGTTTCTGCAAATGCGTCTCCCCTAGGAGTGTAGGGCGGTGCGCCGAGCAGGTTTTGTGCTGGATAACATTCCTACGTGTTGCCAACCGAAACATCGGCGCCTGCTCTCACCCACCTACCCACGCGGCCTTTGCATTGCTCGAACGATGGACCACAGCGGGCTGCAG